TCCTGGGGCTGAAGCTGAAGTAGATGCTGATGTGCAAACACAACAATCTTTCACCTGTTCCTCCTTCTCAGAGATTTCATCTGCTCTTGTGGTGTCTCAAAGGGGATGCAGAAACCGCACCATGCACTTGAAAGAGAGCTCTGAGGTGGAAGGCAGAAAGGCACAGCACATATAAAGCACCTCCAGTGTTCCAGACTGCTCTGCAAAAAGGTGTGCAACTCACAGGGACTGAACCAACACGCCCTCATTCCCTCCTTCCTGTGCACATCCACAAGACATTAAAGCCTCCCTGGATTGTTCCATAAATAAATGAGAAAAAAACTAAAATCACCCACCCAGCAGAACGTCTCCTGAAGGACAAGCTCCAGGTAACAACACTGCAGCAGGAGGCTACATCAGAACCAAGGCTGGTGCCACTGGGACATTAAACCCAACAGAACAGGCTCTCAGCTCCCCTATGACTTAAGAGATGCTTTAGTGCAAGGCAAACAATGCCTATAATCCTTGCAGACAAGTGCTGTCAGCACACTTTACATTGCTTCCTATACCATCACTACTGCTGGCACCAGTAGTTGCCTTTCTGGACGCAGCCCTGGTCCAGCTGACAGAAGCATACTGAAAGCTGCTGCCACACTTCCTTCAGCTCCTCTTCTCTGATACCTGGGAGGAGAGCTCTTCAAAAAGACACAGAAAAGAGACCAGACCTTATTTTTAAGATTTTGGACACTACTTGCTTTTCAGAATCAGGGAAGAATTGGCACAGGGAGACACGCTCACCTCTCTGCACTGAATCTCCACAGAATGGTGGCAGAGCCTCAGGGCTCAGCAGGAGGCAGAGGTAGGAGAGCTCCTAATGATGTCAGCACATGGCTGGACAGAGGATTCTGAGGTGAGAGCCATCAGACCAGAAACAAATCACAGATACTCCCACACAGATCATGCACTTGTTTCAAAAGGCATCGCCCTCAGCTAGACACTGAGTCTGGGTCCTCACGTAGCATTAGTGGGAAATACAGGTACACAGGAGGTGATATTTCAACCCAAACGGCTTTGAATGTTACACAATAAAGATGCTTATTAAGAAGAAATCAAAGATTACAAATGGAAAAGCAAAGGCTTCCCTCAGTTCCCAAATATCCTAAAAGTGGGTGTCAGCAAGCCTCTGAGTAACTCAGTTCTCAGCAGTATGTTCTGTTGCAAACACATGTATCAGTACTTACTGACTGCATCCAGAAGAGAAGCATGCAACTTCCCAGAAGAAAACATCCACAACAGCAGGAAGAAACTCGGCAGCAGCTGGTCTGATGCCATTCTAAACACCCTTCACATGGAAAAACAAGAACATGCAGACTACATGCATGGCTCCAGCAAACACTGCTAACTGTAAGCTTGGAGATGGAGAGGAAGAGAAGAAATCTCTCCATGTGATAAAAGCTTATGGTAATTTATAGACGTAAGCAATGTGTGTGCACCAGGAATAGAAGCACAGAATCAGGGATGGCCAACCCAGTTGGTCCACAGCTGCAAAAATGTACTCATAGAAAGTCTGAAGTATCTGACTGAAAACTATCAGAGCCATAGTGGGGCACTGGTAGTGAAACAAAGCCATTCCACTTTCCATCTGTTGACTTGAAAAAGCAAAATGTTTTAACAAGCAAGCTAAAGACAAACTTTTGTTTTCATAGTGAGGAAAAACGTCTGGCTGAGTTGATCCAACTTCATTGCTCAGTATCTCCCTGCAGCAATCAGAGAGCTGTCAGAACAACACAGGGTGCTTCTGAGTGAATGCCATCAACTGGTGCAGGAGATTAAAAAGCACCCTAGAGAATAAGAAAAAGACTTAGCAGAGGAAAGGGGAAGGAATGAAACTTCTGTGATATTTACTAAAAACGTGTCTCCTTTACAGGCATTTTCTGCTATTAATTTGGTACATTTGTCTCCCACGGCTTCAGCCAAACCAGAGCATTCAAAAACACTGCTCACATCAACCATCCTTTTGCTCCCCTTCTTCAATATTGAAGATGACTCCACAAAAAGCAAAGCTTTGCTTACCTAAGAGAGAATGGGAGAGAGGAGACAGCAGGTGGGAGCAGGACTCATGTGCGTAGTGATGGCTTCCATTTCCCTTCTGTGTCCAAGGGGTGATTTGCAGACGTGATTCAGCTTTCTGTCCTACAACACCAGGCAGCTGGACACCTTCTGCATTACCCACATGCAGTGTCTATTCCAGTGCCACCACACAGGTACACGACCCAGCTTGGATTGTTTTTAAACACTGCTTGTATACGAGTACAGTGGGCAGACAGAAATCTGGCTGGGAAAGCCAAATGAAGACTTCAGCTTTGCAGTGCTCACATCTGCAGAGCTCAGGGGTATGATGCTGAGCTGACAACCGTATCACTGGGAGTAAGGGGGAAAAATACCATTATCAAGTTATTAAGATCCGCTGAGCACCCATGCCCATCACTATCACCTCTTCCAGAAGTCAGCAATTGAATATATGCCTAACGCAGTGCTTTGAGAGAAATTACTGCAATGGGTTGGTATCAGCTCAATAACAAAATCCTCTAATACAAAGCAAAAAAACCCCTTCCCTGCACAGATGGAACAATGATTGCACTAGGATTTTAATGAGGAGTGCACTCCCACGACTGGTAGGCCCAAACTTGGATCCAATTCCACTCGCTGTGAATAGATAAGAAAATGTTTATTTAAGGATGGTTTCTCCCCCACCCTGAAATGCATTTTGGAGAATAAATATTAAAACAACACCAACAATCCAGCACTTATGAGCGCCCTACAAGCAACCATTGTGTGCCGTGTGACAGAGAAAAAAACACCAAGGCTAAGAAAACACTGTCTAGTTTTAAGCATCCATAGATTTTTAGCAAGGACTTAAGTATGTTTCTGTAACCTAACAGTGAACACAAATATTTGCTTAACCCCCGCCTCCGACTTCCAGAAGAGAACTAATTACCCTGACAGCTACCAAATGCCCCAAGAAGAATTTGAGGCATGAACCAGAACCACCACCACCAAAAAGCAACAGAGACACAGCTCCCACCAGCAGAAGGGCTGCCTCACTCGGGCATCCTAAACCCAACTGTGCCGAAGACACCAGTGACTCATTACAGTGATGGAGCAGAGGAACTGCTTCAGGGGGCGAGAGGAAAATTCCATCTTAATTTAAGAATGCTCTCACAAACCTCGCCTGAGCTCTGAGACATCCCAACAATCAGATATTGACTAAGACAGGCTTTCTATAAACACTGCTGACAGCGCTCAGTGAGCGATCCGTGCTAAGAGCCCTACCATGGACACAGAAAACTCCAAGTACAATGTTTACACATCAGCTGCTTTCAAGAAGTTTACCTTAGATACTTTTAAAATGAACACAACATCAGTGGCTTTTAAAAACGAAGCTGGCTTTGCGTATTTGCCTTCACAGCCTGCACCATCCCATTCACTATTCCCTTGACACAGTTCCTCCCTGTTTGCAAGGCTCTGCAAAAACAAAGAGCGCACCAACGACCCAGAAACAGATGCAGGATTCCTGACTACTTGAAACTCATTAACTTCACACTGGGTTTAGAGGTGCAACAACTCTGTCCAAGGCTTTGATTTACATTTCTCAGGTTGTGCTAGGAGAGGGTTTATCACTGAGACCCCTTGCAGAACAGAAGGACATTTACCAAGACCCAAAGAGAGGAGGTTTGGTGGGAAGGGGGGGTGTTATTTACAGGGCACAGTGCAGTGCCCTGCACTCAGCCAGCTCCGGAACTGGAGGCTATAGGACATGTCAGCACAGCTCTCCACTCATTAGCAGGATAATGAGAAGCAGAATCCGTCTCTTTTTTTTTCCACTAGGAGCAAAGGGATGACACAGAACACTTCCCTGTGACACAGCCAGTCGCTTTTCACCACGCTGCCCTACGCTGTGCAGCTATACCCAAACAAACCAGCTGAAGGCACGCGATGTTTCAGATTTATGAAACCTGAAATGTCCTTCTTAAGTTTTACGGGCCAGATTTCCCAGCAAAGAAATCATAGAATCACAAGGTTGGAAAGGATCTGCAAGATCTACTAGTTCAACCATCCTCCCATCACCACTGCTACCACAAGCACTAAACCATATCTCGCAGCTCCTCAGTTGACTGATCTGCACATAGCAATCTAAGGAAAAAATAAGAATGTAAATATCCATTACCGTGAAAACAAAAGAGTTAAAAATAACTCCCCGAGGCCATTAGTAACCATTTCAAAGGGGGATGGGAACGAGATCCGACTATAAAACTCCAATTTGAACATTAGCAAACAGCCCTCCCCCAGCACGCAGCAATTACCGGCGCCTTTCATGTGGCACAGCCACGCTCCTCAGTTTGGTCACACCAGGCCCATTTCGTGTACAGTCAGCAGCATTATGAAGTGCAACATCACAGCCATTCTGCCCACGGAGTCCACAAATTCGGACTGCTGATACACGAGCCAAAAACATCACGACAAAAAGAAAGGGCTCACGGAGCCATCAGCAAATGGCCGGGTCGGAAGGGACTCAAAGACCATCTGCCGTGGGCCGGGCGCCCCCCAGCTCAGCCGCCCAGGGACCCATCCACGGCCTCAGCGCCTCCAAGGATGGGCACCCACAGCTCCGGGCAGTCTGAGAAAGGCAACAAGGAGGAACGTGGGGCGCCCACACCTCTGTGGCTGGAACCGCTTGAGCAGCACCCGTCGGCTTTCAGCAGCAGCCCAGCAGCGAGCTCCAGCTCCGCTCCAGCTTCCGAAAAGCTTTAATCCGCTTCTGCCTTTCTCGGCTATTATTAACCCCGGGGATAAAGTCGTTAATCGGGAGCTGGAAGCGACGCGCTCCCCGCGCAGGTAAATGCCCTCCGCCTTCAGCATCGGGCGAAGCGCCGCCTGCAGCGCTCCGTGCGGGGCCCGGAGCCGCCGAGCCGGGTGCCGCGAGCCGCCGTCCCGCGGCAGTTCCGGGCCCGGGCCCTTACCTTGTACACGTCGCCGTAGGTGCCGCTGCCCACGCGCTGGATCAGCTCGTAGTCCTGCTGCGGGTTCCGCCGCATGATGTCCCCGCTCGGCCGCTCCATGGCGGCGGGCCCCGAGGGCCGCCCCTCCGCTCCGGGCCGCCGCTTAGCGCGGCCGCCGGCCTTCGGCCCTCATGGCTGCGGAGCCGGGAAGTGCCTCCCCCGCCGGGGAGGGGTCTCGGCCGCGGCTGACAAAACAAAGGGAGGGCGAGGGGCGCTGGGAACGTCCGTTGGCCGCGGGGCAGAGGGGTGGAGGTCCCGGCCCCGAGTGGCTCGGCGGCCCTCCGCAGCCAGGCCGCTACGCCCTGCCCTACCTGCGCGGCCCTTTGTCCCGGCGCTCAGGGAACGCCGCGCTGCCGCCTCCTTCCTCCTCCCTTCTCCTCCTTCCTGCTCCCGCCGCGGCCCCACGCACGCACCGCGCCGGGACGGGACGGCACAGCGCCTCTGCAGCGCCACGGCGCGGCGGGATTCGAACCCGCGGCCCTCAACTCCACGGCCGCCGCCTCCTCCGCCCCGCCGAGCGCTTACACGGCGCCCGCCCTCACAGCGCTGCGCTGCGCTGCTTCGAGCGGCCGGCGGGGCGAGCGGCGGGATCCTCCGCACCGCACTGCACTGCCTCGGAAAGGCCGCGTCTGGAGCGCCGAGCCCCCGGCTCCAGGCAGACAGGGAACTGCTCCAGAGATGGCAGGGCTGTGGGGCTGAGAGCCTCCGAGGTGTGAGCTTGAAGGCTGAGGGGATTCTTATCCATACATATCAATATCTGAAGGGCGGCAGTCAGATTAGTGAGGGCAGTGCATTTCTGCCTTCATGGAAAGCAGCGCTGAGGAATGGTGCCATCTGTCAGAGCTGTGGCATAGCAGAAGGCTGTGGCTGCCTGGAGGACGTGAGGTGATGGGCTCATGAATCACAGGATCACCAAGGTTGGAAAAGACCTTCAAGATCATCCAGTCCAACCATGCACCTATGGCCAATAGTTCTCAGTGAATCATGTCCCTCAACACAAAATCCAAACGTTCCTTGAACACCTCCAGGGTTGGCAGCCCATTCCAGTGCCTGACCACTCTTTTGGAGAAAGAGTTGAACCAGGGGAGGTGTGGGTTGGATTTTTACTTCACAGAATCACAGAATCACCCGGGTTGGAAGGGACCTCAAGGATCACGAAGCTCCAACCCCCCTGTGCCATGCAGGGCCACCAACCTCCACATTTCACAGCAGCCCAGGCTGCCCAGGGCCCCATCCAACCTGGCCTTCAACACCTCCAGGGATGAACGGGGCATCACAGCCTCTCTGTGGATCCTAAATCCTCCCTCCCTCAACTCCAAACCATTTCCCCTTGTCCTGCTGCCATCTCCCCTTGCCAAGAGCTGACTCCCCTCCTGTCTGCAGGCTCCCTTTAGGCACTGCAGGCTGCACTGAGCTCACCCCGCAGCCTTCTTTTCTCCATGCTGAACAAGCCCAGCTCCCTCAGCCTGTCTTTGTAGTGGAGGTGCTGCAGCCCCCTGCTCATCTTTGTGGCTCCTCTGGACCCTCTCCAACAGCTCCCTGTCTTTCCTGGGGGCTCCAGACCTGGACACAGCACTGCAGATGGGGCCTCACAAGAGCAGAGCAGAGGGGGACAATCACCTCCTGTCCCTGCTGCCACCTCTCTTCTGAAGGAGCCCAGCACACCATTTGCTTTCTGAGCTGCAAGAGCACACTGCTGGCTCATGTTCAGCTTTTCATCCACCAAGACCCCCAGGTCCTTCTCTGCAGGGGTGTTTCCAGCAAAAGCAGCTGAAGTACAGCAGAACACCTGAGTAAAACCCACCCGTGGTCTCTGAAATGGCTGCTGAACAATTTAATAGACCAAAGAGCCCAGACACAGAGCAGAGGAATGCTGGAATCCGCAGCGGTATCGCTGCACAGTAAAACCATTAAGGCCTACAAAAGGAGGTGTGAGCACTGAGGTGCAAAAAATACCACATACTCAACGCAGGAAATATGTTTGCAGAAGCTTGGTGGGATGAATGAAATGGATGCCAGATGTATGGGCTTTTTGGTGACTGAGCCTCTTTGGCAGGCAGGCAGCCCAACTGGGCCCAACGCATTGACAAAGCAGCTCAGTGCAGCTTCCCAGGTTAAAATGGAGCCTGTTTTTAGCTTAGCGCAGCGCATTTGGGAACACCACGTGCAGGTACCTGAAACCACACCGCTGATTGCGTCAGCTTTTCCTTCCAAACACGGGCTCTCCAGCACAACTCAATAGGATTATTGCACCGTTTGAGGTTGAACTCAAAGGCTGCGTGTGCTGACGCTCAGGAATTGCACGGTCACGTCTGATTTTATTGGGCTTTGATTTATGGGCTCATTGGAAACGGTGCTTTTCAGGAGCGGGCTCCAAATGTAAACTGCCTTGCTTCCAGAGAGGCAGGGAAGCACGTGACTGCCAACTTAAAGGGATTCACATTTCATTTCCCCTCGTACTCTGAAAGCTTTCTACATCCTGTATATTCTCTCCAACATAAATACGTCAGTTTTCCTGAACAGCCAGCAAATAAAGGAAAGAAAAAAACTATTTACCCTTTAGGGGGCTGTATTTCCTCTGGTGATTTTCAACAAAACAATTACCTCTGCCCTAGAAATTAGCTTCCTGCACTCCTGATAGCGAGCTGTTTGTGTCCTTTCTTTTTCCCTCTTCCTCCGCTGAATGTTTGAACACCGCTTTTCATTTTCCAGATTTTCTGCTCCTGTCAAGCCATCAGGTGACAGCACAGGAAAGGCCGTTTCATTTTCCAGTAGCAGATGGTGCATTAAGACTTGGCCTGCTACAGCATTTTGTGGATCCAAGGGCTCTGCAGTGTAATGCAAGAGCTCTTTCATAGACCACAGTTTTGCCCTTGCTGGGTTGGTTGCCCTTTGCTTCACACCTGGAGGTTTGGTTTCCTGGAGCCCGTGTTGTGAGCTCCAAAGCTGCCTTGTGGTTTGTGCTTTGTTCCACCATCTCCAGCTGGGTCTCAGTCCCTGCTAGAAGCGACACTGTAAAGTGCATATCAGTAACAGCAGCACCAAGTCTACTGACAGAGCCATTCTGTGGCTGCAAGAATGGAGGTAAGAGAGATATACAAAGCGTCCAGGCCAAGACATATATCATAGAATCACATATCATAGAATGGCCTGGGTTGCACAGGAGCACAGTGCTCATCCAGCTCCAACCCCTGCTGTGTGCAGGTCGCCAACCAGCAGCCCAGGCTGCCCAGAGCCACATCCAGCCTGGCCTTGAATGCCTGCAGGGATGGGGCATCCACAGCCTCCTTGGGCAGAAGACATGGCATGACACTGCATCCTCCCAGGCACAGACTCTTGAGCACGTGTCCATCTCCATTCTGCATTTACCACCCGAAACCACGTTGCTCTGCTGGTCAAGCACACTGAGGAATGTGCTTTTATGCAGCTTCGTTCATCTGGATGGGTCCCAGCCCTAGTAGGAATGTTAAGTGGTTTTACATAAGGCATTACGTAGGATTAGAGAATGTGATCTGTTTGCATTGTAGTCTTGAGAAGAAGAACAGCGAAGGTTATTTTAATGAGATCTAGCTGGTAACGGTCGATGCGAAGCTGCACCAATTTCTAGCTGAACAGTGCTATAAAAGTGCTTTTTAAAGCAGCACAGGGTGCTGGGCACGTGAACGGCTGCTCACTCTCAAATAGGAAACTGAGCTGTGAAACATCAGCACTCAGAAAAAGAAATCGGCCCTCCTTCTCATGAGATTGCCGAAGCATCTTTAATCTCACATTGTTTAACGAGCTCACACTGGAGGTGTTCAAAACTGTTCTGCAAGATTGCTTCATGGTGCATTTGACAACTAAAATAGATGAGATGCACAGCAACAAGGAAGCTGAAGGCACAGTAATCAGCGTCAAGGCCTGCGGCTTTCCCCCTCGTCGATTCATGCCATGCACTCTATTTTACATCAGATTTCATTCATTGTTGAGGAGACAAAGTAGGCTCTCAAGAAATGCTGCAGCTTTTTCCCTACTTTTTCTTTTTTTCTTTTAAGTTTATGGTTTGGGTTTTTCAGTTTGCTTCTCCTCTCTGATGAAACACATGCTTTTGCTACAACGCATCTCTCTGCTGCCACGAGCCAAGGACTTTCCTGGAGGGTAGGGTTGAGGAAGATACCCACCCACTGCCCTATTCCTGGGGATGCCCAAGGCCAGTTGGATGGGGCTCTGGGTGGCCTGATTTGGTGGCTGGCACCTTCCCTGCCCGCAGCAGGGTGGTTGGAACTAGGCGAGCTTTGAGGTTCCTTTCCAACCCAAGCCGTTCTGTGATTCTGTGACATAGGAGATGAGCTACTTCCAGGGCAGCTCTCTGACACCAAATCCAGCTCTGCCTGCAGCAGGTAGGATGCTGAGCAGCTTCTCAGGAGCTCACAGTGCTGCTCACACTGCTTCATGCTGATTTCTGTTGGGGGACCCACAGACAACGCAAACAGGGCAGTTTTTGCAAGGGTGGAATGACCTCCCCTTAGTGGTGCATCCTTTGGAGCTGGGAGCAGCTGGGATCACAGCCAGCACATGATGGTCAGTACAAAGGATGCCAGAAAAAAAAACAAACCCACAGACATGCTAACAAGAGGACCGAAGATATCCTGATGCAGGAGCAGAAAGGAAAGGTTGTTGCTCTGCTCAGGTGCTCTGAAAGCAGAGAAAAGTCACACAGGGTTGGAAGAACAAAGCCTTCCTAGGCTGCCAAGAGGCACAAAAGTCAAACAAGACCCTCTGCCAGTTGAAGCCAGCTCCATGGGCAAGGATTTGTTTTCTAGGGAAGGAAGAGGAGTGCAGGTGGCCACGCATTACTCCTGCATCACCATGTTTACATCACTGTGTCCCAGGTCGCTGTGCAGCTGAGCATGCTGTTTGCACTCGGCAGGAAGGAAGCCAGGGCAGAGGTGAGCTGGCAGCTTCACCGGCATCGACTGCTCAGCATGAAGATGTGGAGAAACGTGGCTGCTCAGTTCAAAGCCACATTAACGAGGGGACTTTCAGAGAGCTGCCTGGAAACCCATCTGCCACCCCTGCTTTGAGGTGCACGAAAGCTGGCTGGAGCACACTGCAAGCATCTTGCTGAATCATGCAGGCAGGTAGGATGCGCAGGTATTTTTGCCAAGGCACAAGAGGAGCTGGAACCCTCTCCCTGGGAAGAGGTGTATCTTTGGGGGAAATCCTAGAAACAAACGTGGCACACACAGGCTTTGGCTTGGCCTTAGTGCAGCCACGCTGCAGAAAACAGACCAGCAGGGAAGGATGTTTTGAATAGAGCGTCCATCCATCCGTCAGCGTAGGAGAGAAAGAAAGAAAGAAAGAATTAAAAACAATATTGGAGATACATGGGAAGCTGGGCTCAGAAGAGCTCTTACTGACCTTTACAGAGAAATATGAGGAAGGAAGAGGAGTCTGGGAAGGCTGTGGTTCCTCCTGCAAAACCGGTATTGTCTGAATCCATGGCTGAGAGTGGGATATTTTGTTCCAGTTCAGCAAAACCTTGCAGGAGTCCTGAGGGTGTTGTTTGGGGTGAGGGACCGACTGGGAACTGGCCTGGTGGTCTAAATCAGATTAGAATTGCATCTGTTTATTGCAGGCCTTGTGCAATTGCTTGTTGTTCCTGACCAGCAAACCCAGCTGTCCCCACATGCACTCTGAGGTTTCTCTGCTCGAAGATTTTGGCTGATATCTCCTTTATCTCAATCACTTCTTATCTTCTTAACTAGTTCCTTCAGTTTACAGAGGACCTTCCAGAGGAAAGCCCTCCCCACAGAGCGATTAAACAAGTTAATTAATTAACTGCTGAAATTCCATCTCCTCTATGAGTTAAATGGCTCTGTTACAGCTCTGGTGTGCAGTGATGTTAACAGAAGCAAAGAGAATTCCTCTGGTTGCAATCTCCATGTATACGTGGGTGGTCGTAACACAGTTTGGGGTGAGAAACAGGAACCGCAGGAACAGGAGGATTTCCTAAGCAACAGGGATCTGCTTTGCTTAAAAATACTTCAGTAAAGGGGAAAGAAAAGCAGAAATTTGAGACAGGTTTCAGCTTTCAAGAAGGGGCGAAACGCTGATTTTGTTTTATTCCTTTTTGCTATTTCCTAGGAATCTTGGCCTCTTAACCTGAGAGTAAGGACACAGCAATGAAAAGCGATGACAAATCTCTGCCACAGAGGAGTGTAAGTGCTTAGGAGAAGCACAGCTAAGGTCTGAATCCTGTGCACTTTTTCATGAAATTAAGCAGAAGCAGTGAAAAAGCAAACAGTGAGCAGGCAGAAGCGATACGAACAACTGTGGGGAAGGGGGAAAAGGGCTCCAGAACCTCATACAGCAGCGTGGGAACAGCCCTGGATGGGATGGGAAAATAGGGACCCTCTGAGCAGCCCCCAGAGTGCAGTGGCACCTGAAGCAGAGCGGAGATTGTGCAGCACCCACCCGGCCCTTACATAAGCATTGCACAATGCTTCTGCTCACGAAGGATGAGGATAGGAAAAGCAATGGTAAATGCTGCTGTGGTAAGTGGGCCAGGCGAGGCAAGGTGAATTATGAAACTGCCCCCGTGAGCAATGTGCTTTATTGGGTTTAAATCCAGGTTTTCTGCTCATTCTGTGGCCTTTTCAGTGCTGCATCCTCCAGCGCTGCAGCTTGCTGACCCCACGGCCATGCTCATGTTCTGCACGGCACTTTCTCTTTTTGCCTTTCCCCCATTTGGCATTGTTTTTCCTTAAGAATCCTTCCACTGTGTGCCTGCTCAGCCCTGAAATTGACTCTTTGTGAGCTGCTCGGGCAGCAAGAATTTAAGGATGCTTCCGAGGGAGGGCTCCTCATGGGTGGAAATATGAAGGCAGGAAGAATCAGAGAACGACTTGGGTTGGGTTGGGTTGGAAGGGACCTCACAGCCCCCTCAGCCCCACTCCTGCCATGGGCTGGGTGCCCCCCAGCTCAGGCTGCCCAGGGCCCATCCACGGCCTCAGGCACCTCCAGGGATGGGGCACCCACAGCTCTGGGCAGCGCCAGGGCCTCACTGCCCTCTGAGGAAAGATGCCACCATGGAAAGTGAAAAAATGCCCGTAAATGGGGCAAGACAATCTTGACTTAAGCTGCAGTTCTCAAAAGCATGAGGAAAGCAGGACCGGAGCCCATCTTGGCTTAATTAGACTTTCAAATTAACAGATCTCCTTTCCATCCTCCTTTTTTTTTTTTTTTCCCCTCTCCATTTCCCAGCTGCTTTTCTTTTAACCTCTTCTTTCAACCTATTTGAACTCTGCATGTCTCCAGCACAAGAAATCCCCTCTTGCAACGCAGTCTGCTTCTTGGGCTGCTTCAAAGAATCAACAGGCTTTATTTTATATATATATAAAATCATAGTATCACACAATGGCCTGGGTTGCACAGGAGCACAGTGCTCATCCAGTTCCAAGCCCTGCTGTGTGCAGGTCGCCAACCAGCAGCCCAGGCTGCCCAGAGCCACATCCAGCCTGGCCTTGAATGCCTGCAGGGATGGGGCATCCACAGCCTCCTTGGGCAATCTCCATTTGTTGAGGGCTTAGCTCCTTTTCCCATCCTTCTTAGGTTCTGTCTGTGTTGTCCCCCTGCGATCAATGCAGGCCATACCTCAAGAGCTGCACTGTGCTCCCTTCAGAAAGGCAGCACATAGCTTTGGTCCTGGATCCATCAGCAAGCCTTACCAGCAGCCATACACCAAGGGCCAGGCTGATCACTGGTCACATTTTGCACCTGGGTGTTGCCACGCACTTGTGCTGAGTCACCATTTCCAAGAGCAATGGATCAATCCCAAACACCAAGGGTCAGAGCAGGGGGAAGTCTGGTGGGTGATACAGAGTCACAGAACGGCCCGGGTTGGAAGGGACCTCAAGGATCACGAAGCTCCAACCCCCCTGTGCCATGCAGGGCCACCAACCTCCACATTTCACAGCAGCCCAGGCTGCCCAGGGCCCCATCCAACCTGGCCTTCAACACCTCCAGGGATGGACGGGGCATCACAGCCTCTCTGGGCAGCTGTTCCAGCACCTCACCACTCTCACAGCACACAACTTCCCCCTGACATCCAACCTCCATCTGCCCTCCCTCCACTTCAAACCATTTCCCCCTGTCCTGCTGTTATCACAGGGGAACGGTTTTAAATCAAACGAGGGGAGATTTGGGTTAGATGTGAAATTCTTCATGCGGACGGCGGCGAGTCCCCGGCACCGCGCACAGCCGTGGGCGCCCCGTGCCTGGAGGTGCCCGAGGCCGCGGACTGGTCGGGGCAGCTGAGCCGTGGCGCACCCAGCCTACAGCAGGGCTTGCGTGGCGATGTCCGTTCCCAGCCGCCCATTGTGCGATCGCTGAGCCGCACCTTTTTGCGGCCCGGCCGCCCGCAGGCTGAACGCACAGCCGTACAGCAAGCAGGCTCCGTCCCCCGCCGCCGGCGCTCCCCGCGGGGCCGGGCCGGGCCGTGCTACGCCGTAGCGGGCGGGGATGCTGCCGGCGCCCCCGCCCGCCCCGCTCCACCGCGGCAGCCGCGCCAGACGCAGCGCGGCTCGGAGCCCGCACGGAGCCTCCCGCAGCCGCCCCGCGCCATGGCCCGGAACCGCAGGGAGAGGAGCAGCTGGGGTGAGCGGCGGGCCGAGCGGGGGGCGACGCGTCCCGGTGGCGGTCGAGGAGGAGGAGGAGCGGGGGAAGGGGGGGCACGGCCGCGGCCCGCCGCTGCGCCGAACAATGCCGCGGGGCGGGGGGCGCGCCCGGCTCCTCCCGGGGCTCGGCTCGGCCGGCGGGGCGGGGCGGGGCGGGCGGTGCAGCACGGCGGGGCCGGGGGCTGCGGCCGGCGGTCGGGCCTTGTGTGTGTGTGTGTGTCCGTCTGTCTGTCAGACGTCTGTCTGTCAGCCCGCGTCCGTGCGTTGGATGCTGGGGATGGGGGCCGTGCCGTGGGGCCGTCCCGAGCGGCCGCCGCCCTCAGCCGGGGCCCGGCCTGCGTGGCTGTCCGCCTGTCGGCATCCCCGCCGTCCCTTCGGAGCCCCGCACGCAGCCCGCCCCGTACCCGGGGCTCTCCGCGTTTCTCGGTGTGCCGCAGCCCTGCGAAAAGGGGCCGCTTCCACACCGCCTGAGCCCTGGGAGCTTTTAGCATTGCCAGCGAAGAGGAGGAGGAAGAGGAGAAGGAGGAGGAGGAGGAGGAGGAGGAAGTCTCCCGGCCGCCTTCCTGCAGGCCTTCCCGTCTCCCAGCCGCCTTCCTGCGGGCAGGAGGGGAAAACTGCGTCCCCCTGCAGCCCCGGGGTCCCACAGGTGGGCTGTGCCCCATGCACACAGCCTGGCCTTCACCTGCCCTGCTTAAGGCCTTCCTCACCCGGTAGAAATTCAGCTCAGACGGCGTATAGCTACTGTTTAAGGCTGCAGGAGGCATGATGTGGCATTCCCCGTGTTCCGATCCCTGTAGTAAAGCATCAGAGCTCACGGCACCCCGTCTGCAGGTGAGCGGAGCTCTGATGTTTAGATACACAAATTAGGTTCTAATTTGGATAGATGAGTGGAGTATTTCCCATGGTAATGATTAACGGCTCGGGGACATGTTTGCAGAAGCACACAGATAACGGAGGCTGTGATTGAAGCCAACGGAGCATGCGGTGTTCTTTTTGCAGGAGGAAATAAGCAGTGTGTGCCTGATGAGGGCTGTGTGTAACCATGACTGTGCAGGAAGGAGCTCAGACCTCGGGTAAACGGGGCTGACAGCTCGCAGCCAACACTGTGACATTCTCAGCTGTGTCTCACACGAGTGTCTGTCCCGTTTTTATGCGGGTTGAGCATTGCACGCACGTACGTGTGCTTGCACTTTCCCTTTGCATCTTGATGGTGTGAGAAAAAAATGCACGTGATGTCAAAACAGATTTAAACGGAGAAAAAAAGCCATCCCAGGAGGTATAGGCTTGGTCTAGCAAAGCAATTAGACACATGCCTGGTGTGAGCATACTGCTAAGCCGTGCTGTAGTGAAAAGAGGTCTGTTGCTGGTTTGCTTCTGGGTCAGCTCTGCAAGAATCCGGAACCTCATGTGGATTGATCACCTTCCATCCATCCACAGACCAAACACAGGGCGTTCCTGGAGTGATTTCCCAGCACTATGCCAGGCTGCTTGACATTGCAATTAGTGCGAGTGCCAAATGCTGTGTTTTTTAGTACCAAACGGCTCCCTTTAGTAGATGCCTGCATGTATACGGCAGCAGCTCATCTCCGGAAAGATGGGTTTTGTCAGCTGCCTGCATGGTGACATCCAGTGCCTGTTTCTCAACCTGTCTGCTAAAGGAGCTCCTGGAGTGGGTCCAGAGGAGGACCACTAAGATGATCAGAGGGCTGGAGCACCTCTGTTATGAGGAAAGGCTGAGAGAATTGGGCTTGTTAGCTTGGAGAAGAGAAAGCTCAAGGGAGACCTCATGGTGGCCTTCAGTGCTTGAAGGGAGCAGATAAACAGGAGGGGAATGGCTGTTTGTGAGGGTGGATGGTGATGGGACAAGGGGAATGGATTTAAAGTGAGACAGGGGAGGTTTGGGTTGGATATGAGGAGGAAGTTTTTCAGCCAGAGGGTGGTGAGGCACTGGCACAGGTTGCCCAAGGAGGCTGTGGATGCCCCATCCCTGCAGGCATTCAAGGCCAGGCTGGATGTGGCTCTGGGCAGCCTGGGCTGCTGGTTGGCGACCTGCACACAGCAGGGCTTGGAGCTGGATGAGCGCTGTGCTCCTGTGCAACCCAGTCAGTCTATGATTCTATGCAGGAGGGGTTTCAATCTCCTGCCTTCCAGGCAGTAAGTTCAGTCAGTAAAAACACGACACTGTTTTGGAATGGATCAAACTTTGTCCTAGTTCCTACTTGTTAGGCAGCCTGAAAGCTGCTCACTGCAACCCTCCACCTTTGTTTCATAAAAACAATTTGCTTTTTTTAAAGATCCCAGAGTGAATTGAGGTGAGCAATTGCACAGCACGCAGAAGGAATTGCTTCCAGCCAGCTACCAAGGCTGTGTTACTGCTGCACCTCCCCGCCTGGTCGTGCAGGGGCACGTTGTGCATCTGGCACAGGGCTTAGCCCTGGGCAGGAGGTCAACGTAAGGCTGTGCATCATTGGAGGCTCTCTTACAAACGTGCTAAGTGGTGCAGAGAGCTTACAGCTGCTGCTAGCTGTGGGATGGATGGCTGGGAGAGCTGTGTATGGAGAAATCATAGAACCATAGAAAGGAATCCTAGAATGGCTTGGATTCGATCTTAGAGATCATCTAGTTCCAACCTCCCTGCCTGAGAAATCACGCAGTGTTTTTGTCAGAGAAGGGGATCCTGCTTCTTCCTGGTCTGAATCCCGGTGGGTGCAGTATTACAAAGCTCTGCAGTGTGTGGCAGTGGTAGTTTTTTCTGAGATTCCTTGTGCTTTTCACCTGCAGCACTTGGCTCCCTCTGCTGTGGCAAAACCACTCGCGATCTCTGCTCCCAGTCACTCATTTAAACAGCTCAGACGAGTACAAGATATGTGAAATCTCTCACTGCCCATCATGGCACGTGTTGCAATGCAAACGATCAGCTCGTCAAGAGTTCAGTTTCAAAACCATAAAGAGGATTACAGAGGTTCCTGGTCAGGCTTTTCAAACTGGACTTGAGCTTCATGAGGGCTGTTCAGAGGGCCTGGCTGTCAGGAGGGGCTGAAAGCAGCTTCTGGAGGAAAGATTTTCTTCCAAAACAGACCAGATTGAATTCATCAATGCCACACTTTCTGCATGTACAGAAATGGGTTCAACTGAAAAAAAAAATGGGTGATTTTTGGGTACACATATTATATATATATTTAGGTAATATTGCTAACAGCCTTTTTGTTTGTGGTTTTGCTTGTGACTCTGGATGCCATGTGCCTCCTGAAGAATGAAAGCTGAGGCTTTTCAGGCAGCTGGGCCTTTGCACAAATGCTACCAGAGATGAGAAGTTTCACAACAAAATTGCTAGCCTGTAACTGAGAAGGGAAGATGAGGTGTTGGGGCTTGTGAGCGAGCCGAGCCAACAATGCAAGCGAGAGCCCCAAATCCCTAAGCAGCCTTTGGTCTTTGTGTGCCCAGGGTTTTGAGAGGTAGCATTGCACAAAGAATGTGAACAGCAGGGTGTGAGTCAGTCAGAGATGAGCAGGAGCAAGCCCAACCTTGCCCCTCCTGTGGAGGAACAAAGATGTGCTGAGCCCTGAGCACAGTGCAAGAAACACGTAGCTGTGACACGCAGGAGCGTGGTTAGTGGGCATGGCGGTGATGGTTAGCCTTGATGATCCTGGAACCTTAATGATTCTATGACTCTGTATTCATAGGCACCAGGAATCGTGTGAACCCCCCTGCACCAAATGCCTGCAGCCACCTCCAGCTGTGCTGTGAGGCAGAGGCGTGCTGTCAGCTCTGCAAGGCACAGTGTGCCAGTGGATCACCTCCAAAGCCACCGTGGACTGGGGACGCTCCAGCTCCTTGTGTCTTGGAGAAGTGTTCTTGTTTGCCACCAGGGAAAGGAGGAGTGAAGTTTCCCAAGTGTGGTAGAGGCTCACGAACCTCTGTCAAGCCACCACAATGTATTTTAAGCGCTCTGTTTTGGAGAAGCGTTTGTGCAATGTGCATTTCAGTCACTGTGTCTCACCTGTGTGTGGCTGGACTGAAACGTGGTTAACAGTCCTAGAACTTCTATCTGAGAAACAGCTGTTGGCCTTTGGGTAATGCTGTCTTTTGACAAACAGATAGGAGTCAAGTTCCTTCTGAACGTCACCCACTTAGCTTTGAAATTGGCCGGTCCTGGCATGGGCATAACCACAGAACTGTCTCATGTGGCCTCACATTTCCTGGGAAACTTCTAGGAAGGAATCTCTGTGATCTGCCTTCTTCCCAAAGAAGTTGGCGTGCCTGTGTCTCTGAAGCTTGCCAGCTGATGGGTGTTCTGTTGATGGGTGTTCTGTTGTTTCAGAGCTAGCTGAGGCACAATAATTCCGTGAGAGTAGGAGATGTTGTTTTCACTTTGTATTTTGCATTTGAGATGCATCTTAACAAATGGTTTGGTGGCTAGTAATCATTCCAGCTCTTCACAGAACCACAGAATCATAGGGGTTGGAAGGAACGTCTGGAGATCCCCAGTTCAACCCGCTGCTAAAGCAGCATCCTTACAGGAGATTGCACAGAAAGCATCCAGGAGGGTTTGAATATCTCAGAGAAGGAGACACCACCACCTCTCTGGGCAGCCTGTTCCCATGCTGTGTCACCTTACAAAGTAAAGAAGTTTTTCCTTGTGTTCATATGGAATTTCTTGTGTTCCAGTTGGTGCCCATTGCCCCTTGTTCT